AACAAAAAGCAAAGCGTACCCTACCAAATAAGTTTCTATCCCTGCTAAATTCTCTCTCTCTCTCTCTCTCTCTTCATATGTGTATACAAACACAAAATATTGCAGATAAACAGTCAACAAATTTTGATTTAGCAGTTATTTAAATTTTTATTTAGTTTTAAGAAATATATATATATATATATATTACATTGTATTAAAAAAAAATTAAGATAGAAAATATACATCAAACTAAAAAGAAACCTGTAAATAACAAAGTTAAGAAAAAAAATGTAACGATAAGAAACAATTGCTATTAGGATGACATGATAAAAATAATAATGTCTTGATCAAGGTAGTAAGCTGAATTGACCAAAACATTTTTTTTAACACTTAAAATTTCCCATTCTAAAGATTCGATCTTCTAATTTAATGGCATACAAACAGATAAAAATGGAATCGCGTAAATTATTGGATGATGAAATTTGTAGCTCCAGTAACTTTTGTCTAAAGATAACATTTAAAAATAATTTACTTTTAATTATTATTAGCAAATTTTTTATTCATGTTTGATATTTGAATGATCTGATTGATCACGCCAAGGTTTCATGAATCATGATCAGTTGATGGGTTTATACATACATACATACATATACATATATATATATATATATATATATATATAAAGGGAGGGGGGAGGTCAGCGTCACAAGGAAATGGACGTTTCATTAGGAGGGGTGGGGTCAGCAGATATGAATGGTGAGTGCAGGATAATAAATAAAAACAAGGACGTGAGTAGTAGTACCCTTGTAGTAATACTACACTGCTTATTTCATACGTACTAAAATAGCCTTAAATATTTATTATTATAATATTCTACACTAACTCATATTATTTTATAACATTATTATTTGTTAAAGTTGATTTTCATGTAATACCAACATTTAATTTCCTCACTACCAGGTTTTATTCTGCCTGAAATGACTTCATAAAATATTGATATGGAGATCCAGAAACATGTACGTAATATGAAGGGAAGAGAAGAGAAGAGAAGAGAAGATACAGAGAAGACGTATTTTCTTTTTATATCTAATGAATTTAAAATTATATATGTTTCAATTATATTTTAAAACTATCTTCATTGTTCATGAAAATAATTAATTTTATGATTTAATCGAGTAGTTTTTGTTGGGTAATAAATTATATTTATTCAAATTAGGTGTAGTATAAACATTGAAAATAAAGATCACGAGCACTCCAATTCCTTACCCACTCAAATTTTAAGTGCATATATTATGCTCGTTAACATAAAAATATTAATTAATTTCGTGGATATATATATATATATATATATATATATATATATATGGTTCATGAAGCTTACACAGTTAACCCGTGATTGGTTGTCAAAGATCACACACATTTTGGTACTACAAATTTTATTCACATTTAATTACTAATATGCACTCATAACACTCTCTAATCTATTAACTAACTAATTAATCTTAATATGAAAATTATATTAAAATCCTACGTATGACCTTCTGTAAATTAATAAACCCAAATAAGCTTAGTTAAAAAAAAAACACAGGTATAATATAAATGCTTTTGAGTAAAATATACTACATATATAATC